CAGTTTACACATTATGACCTCTGCTGTAATGATTTTATGATTTTAAGAAGTGACAGTTTCTAGTTTGGGATACATTTCTAAATATATATTGTATATTATAATATTCAAGCTGAGCTATTTGTTAAGTGTACAAAGAAATAGGCTAGGTATATAGAGATGCACACAATTACAATAAAATATCGCTAGCAAAAAGAGCAGGAAAAAACGATCAGTGATCAGATTTTTAAATCCTTTTATACACAGCGAAGTATAGGCTATCAATACTAAATAAAATGTATATCATGGCTAAAAAAAGGAAAAAAAGAAAGTTTAACCCTTACCATTTTTAAATACCCTATCTAATCTTCCATCAATAATTTGTACGTTATCATCGATTTCATTTTGACAGTTTCTAAATGTCATTACAGGGTCTTTGTGCTCAGTGTAAATCTAGTTTCATGCTCGTTGTAAAGCCCTTCCCCACCCACTCACACAACATGCACATTTCAAAAACCTCTCATGGATTATAAGGTTTTTAAAAAATTACTGTATTTAAAATAGTTCTGCATCTCTCACAATCTCTGAAAAAAGAAACAGGTAACAAAATACTAAAATACTTTTCAATTAGTTGTCACATCACTGCTTGAGAATAAGCAGTCATATTGGGTGATCAAAAAAAAATCTTTAAAAAAAAAGGAAAACAATTATCATATAATCAAAATGCCTTTATAGCATTGAAACTGTATTCACCCTCTTGATTGACAGTTGGCCATGAGTTCTTTTTTTCTTTTTCTTTTTAGAAATCTCAACCATAAGCATTAGTTTCCCATCATAGGTATGTTCCAATTGCACAAACACACAAAACATGACACCCGGTTTGTATCTAGGGCTAATGGGAAGACTTGCGTGAAAACAAACTCAACAGCCACTGCTGCATCAAGAGAATGGATGACATGGACATTCAAACCACCACCTTCATGAGGTCTGTAGAAATCATGGTCCCTGCTTTGCTGATAGTGGTAAATATGTCCATCAGCGGTTTCAGACAGGTACAGTGTGGTTTATTCAGACCACGGTCATTAAGTAGGAGCTTTATTACTTCTATGGATAGCCTATCAAGTGAGAAGCACACTCATAAAAATATCCTTGAATTTAAAAATGTTATGCAGATATAGGCCTACGCTCCTATTCGATTACAAAAAAATATATAGTGTTATCCACTGAATGACCATGACTGTTACAGCAACACACACTGATGTTTTATGAAGATCCCCACTGTGCTTTGGAATATCTACATATCTACAGTATAAAGTGCAGCACATCAGAACAGCTAGATGAATGGTTAATCCAATCGGAGTTGGATGATTCTGACATGGCATGAGATAAAATACCATTTGCATCGGGATCTAGTTGCATTTTACCTCCAAATACTGAATGAGATTTGTAGATCAAATGTAACAAAATAGCTTAGTGCACTACAAGTGAAAATACCTGTGTGATTTAGCCATTTCAGAAGCATCTGTGTATAGACACAGTATATGGGTTTTTTTCTATGGAAAACAACAACGGGAGAAACAGAGTTGGAGCTCTGGTAGTGCAAATCATCGATTCAACTGATATCACCTGCATAAGGCTTTCAGTTAAGTTTTCAGGTTTGAATAGTGACTTGGAATAAAAACAAATCTCCCCGGTGGTTTTCCTCTCGTTTTCGTTCACAAATCATACAATACACAGCTGATTCTAATACACGTAAAGCCCTTCATAAACATTACAGAGCAGTCAGGAAAATGAAAAATAAAAGATACCATCGTGAAATAGACAACAAAAATCAGGAATAGGTACTGAGCAGCGTGGCAAAGGACTGTGCATTTGAATGATGAGGCTTAAAGTCTCGAGTCTTCTTATTTTAACCTCTCCTGCTCACTATTTCCATGTGTCAAGCTGATGGGGATCAGGTGGAAGGTAAAGGGAGTCTGGGGTGAACCCATACGCAAGATGACACTTTCGCTATCCAGTTTCACTTACTCGGAGACGAGCCCTGAAACTTTAACTGGCCCACAGTTATACAGGATAAAAAGTGCCTATGTATATATTTGCTTTGTATGTCTTAGCACTCGAGGTATTACTTTAGTGCTGAGTCTAACAAACCAGAGCTTGGGAAATACCAGATATGCTGGTCAGGGTGGTCTGTCTACCACAGAGTGCTGTCTTCCTAAATAAATTACAAACGCAAGACCTGATCGCCTCTCTTGCTAAAGATCATCTGCACAATACAAAATTAATGTTTACTCATTTTTAGAGTGGTAACATGATCTGGATCACGTCCTCTCCTCGCCACCTATTCCTAGCATAGCCGCGGCTTCATCCCTCATCTCCCTCTGCAACCTGTCTTATTTTTCCATTCCAGAAAAAGAAAGTGAAAAGCCACTTCATAATTGAAAGAAATAGGTTTAAAGTTCACTCCACGTGTGCCAGCAAAACAAGGGGCAACGTATCCTTTACATCTCTACACCATCAGGTGGTCACATGCCTCTAACCTTTTATAGTCTCATTGCCCTGACACTGGGACCTGTGTAAAATATAGAGTTACAACCACCTGCACAATTCACAAATACTTGGAAAGGCAATTAGACATCAAAAGTGCTAAAAGGTGGAGCTGAAAGATCAAAACAACAACAAAAGAGAAATATTCTTTAGTGATTACTGGATTAGCAAATGTCTCACAGATAAAAATGACAAAAGAAAGTAACAGCTAAATATAGAGGCAAGTGACCGAACCACTAAGGCCTTGTCCACACTAATATGTTTTCATTTGAAAACGCATCTTTTTTTTCTCCGTTTTGGCCTTCCGTCCACACTGAGATGGCATTTTTAGCAACGAAAACGAAGCTTTTTGAAAACGCTCTCCAAAGTGGATACATTTGAAAACGCCGGTTTCGCATTGTTGTCTGGACTGTGAAACCGGAGGTATTTGAAAACGATGACGCAGTCATGTGACGCATATTGTACCAATAGATATTGTGTCTGTTATGTGCTATTCACTTTCACACTGTTGCTAAAATATGTTACTTTGCACACTCTTCATATCCACAAGAAAATTCACTCGCATTTACTGTCATGCGGCAAAACATGAGAGCAGTTGCGTTTTAGACCAAACATATGTTATTATGAGTGAGTGCGACCTGGACGCAGGATCCTGCCAGAAGAATTGCGTGATAACTTGATTATGGCTTGTTCTGTCTGTATCATCTTAGTGAGCTTTTATGAGGGTTTACGCGTGCACTGTAAGGTGAATTTAGCGTTTTCCGACATTTCAGTGTGGATGAGAAACTTTTGGAAAATGCTTGAAAACGCTAGTGTGGATGGAGCACGTTTTGAAACAAAAACTCTGTTTTCAAATCTATCCGGATTAATGTAGACGTAGCCTAAGGTAAACTGACATAATACATAACACTTAAATCTAAATACACTGCACTATGTACAAGAGAAAATACAAACCGTACACATTTTGGGTCTCTAATCTATCATGTCTAAATATGACGAGTGCTTTAGAGAGGAGAAAAAGGCCAATTAAAAATAGCATATCAAGGATGCTTGACTCTAACATAATTTGTAGCTTTTTAAAGGCCAATATTCAGTGTTTTGAGTTGAGAAAATATCATTTCCATGGGAAACTGAAGCATTAATGTTCCTTGTGCTTCTCGACTACATATTTTTAAATTGAGTTTGACCATTTTCTCTGAAAGCACATAGCAGACATGAAGGATTTCGAGATTTCAGCCATGAAAGATTTTGATCAAAAATTCCCTTTCAAATCATCACCCCCCAAACAAACATATAAATGTGTATATGTATGTACACCTATACAAATGCAATAAACTGACATTTGAATTGCAGTTAATAATCTTCCAAATGCCTTAACTTTCAGAATCAAAAAAGGTTGCCTGTATACTGACCGCAATACAAGTCCCACATGCAGCTGTCCAAATGGAGGAGACGTGGCCTCCTTTTCATCAGTGGATGTTGAGAGTTCATACAAGCATACAAAATAAGTCCACCAAATCAAGTCAAGCCAGACACATAATTAGTAATAAGAGTAAAGAAATTCAGGGTTTCAGTTTAGTGGATACAGACTGACCTTTAGATCTGCCTGAAAATAGGAGTGGAATCTGTGAGGACTGAAACTGTAAGTTATATTATATTATATTTTTTACATATATATTAAGATATAAATGAATAGAACTTTTGTTTCATTTAACCTTCCGTTTAGTGCCAGAAAATGAGCCATTTGATAAACAAACAGCGATGCATTTGCTAGTGTGGACTGTGTGTCTCTCATTCTGGCAAAGTTCTTCAGGGAAGAGCATGCTGCAATCTGGGTTTGGGGCAAAAGAACTAAATATGGTTCCGAAGGCTTTTTTTCTGTTTTTCTTGATCTGTGTTGGCAATATTTCACTTCACTTTCTTCCAAGACAAGGCCAATAGAAGGAGATGATGTGTCCTTATCTTCGTTATAAAAAGGAGCACTGGTGATTTCATCCATTCTTTTCCACCGGATAAATTGTGTCTGTCTGTCAACTTTAAAAATAAAAATCTTCATTGAGATGAGTGGCTGTCACTTGTCTTGCTCAGGTTTCCAATTGTCCAGAATATGAGGTTTTGTTTTCATGATTCCATGAGTTTTTTTTTTTTTTTCATTGGAGAACTGAATTTGGAGGAATTTCCTTAAGATCACGTTTCTTCTGAATCATATGTAAAATGTAACAAAATCACTACATAGTGATGCCTGCATTAAATTATAACTGAATGATTTTGACTATTTAAGAACTATATATGTATACCATATATATCCCTAGTTATATTTTCTGCATTTTTTATTTAAATGTGATCCAATCAGTCAGTTTATAATAATTTTTGAAATAAAATATGAATTAAAAAAACAATTGTACTTGTCTGTTTCATTTTTAGTAATTAATCGTATCTACCTGAATGTACATCTAGCAATATTCCAGTGTATTGCACTTCAAATCTACAGTTAGTTAACAAATACTGATAGAAATTAATTTTAGGTTCAAGTACTTAAAGCAAAAACTTGAGACTGTAATCTAAATGTATAAGCAAGTTCTCAGCCAGACATTTATCATTTGATACAGAGATTAAAGCACTGCAAAGTACTTTTAGAGGAAATATTATTAAAGGCAATTTTTTCGAGGAGCAAATCAGAAAGGTGATTAATCTGAGATTACATTTTCCCAATGTGGTAATGTTAGTTATTTCAAGTTAATTAAAATTGCCTCTAAAGACCATTTTGATTTGCATATGGGTAGCCTGTCATAAAGTCCCTTTAAAAAAAAACAAATGTTGTTCTTGTTTTTTCCCCCCTCTAAATACTCTAGCAGCTACAGTGCCACATTCTGAAAAAGCAACAGACACTAAAGTGAGATACCTTTTTTTTTTTATCATAAAGTGCCCTAAAGATTGTGCAGTTTTCTTTTCAACTCAGCATGAGTAAATATGCTTTCACTGTCAGCAATGCTAACAGAAATGAAAGGGCCTGGAACAATTTGGGTCCCTAATTTTATATAATCTGGAACTGCTCCCTCTTTTCCAGTACCTGTCCTGTCAGCGCCACTGTTTACAGTACTGCATATGGAAATAAATTAAGTAACCTAAACAAGCATCTACCACATTTATTCTATTTTGTTCACTTACATGCATTTTATTTTAATTAATTAATTGCTGTTAAAATAAATTAAATCCTATGAGAGCATTTTCATTAAGCGGAATAGAACAGATTTTTTTTTTTATCCCTTTAAAGTAGATATTTTAGGTGTTTTTTTAGGTGCCATATTTGAAGGAGATGTTTCCTCTTATGTAAGTTTGGTGTCTAATTTTTTAAGGAAGTTGTTTCTGAGGCTCCTTGACTAAATGACATCAGACTCCACAACACACTGCTCTGTGTACTCTTTCACCAGCTCCACTTTAAGGGTCTCCCTAAAGAAATCGGCCATCGGCTTCCACAGCGCGGGCTCCAGGAACACCTGACACATGACGTAACCCTTCAGAGTGCCAGTGTGGCGCCTCAGGTGGCACAACAGCTGTTGTATGGCCAGTGTCAGGTCTTTACCAAACATGTCGATGTTGAGGTAGTACCAGTCATCACCGATTGGCACATGGAATGGGAAGGTGCACAAGCTGACCATGGTTGGGCGCCTGGCATCATCAACCATCCAATCAATGTCCTTCTTCAGCAGGATGTCCATGTTGCTAGACAGAGGCTTGAAGGGCTGCCAATCTTGAACGATGGTAGCATTGGGAAGGACACCCTGCATTAGAACATCGCTTAAGAAGAGCTGGTGCACCTCTGCTGGCTCCAAATGGACTGGGATGTTTGTGGTGGACAGACTCTCCCCTGATATAGTGATATTAGGCCCAAGATCAGCAAGGCGTAATTTTAGGTCTTCAGCATGGAAGCGCACCAGGAGGATTCCCTTCACGTTTGAATTTGGTGACAGAATGGAGACAATGTGGCTTTAGCTGGTTTTATTCAAGATAAAACCTTACCTAAACAAAATGTTTATATTTTACTGGAAATGGTTCTTACCTGTTTGGTGATGAGCCGGTATTTCTGGAAGTCTTTTGGTCCCAGTTGGTCATCTCTTGTCAATCTGCTGACTTTAACGTCAGGGTACTTGGACTTAACCAATTGAGAGCAAAACCGAAGAAGTACCCCTGCCACACCTTTCCCCCTCTCCTGTGGGGCAACACGAAGCCCTTCCACCAGCATGGTCTCACCATCATCAATAACACACGCTGACTCCAGTGCAATCTGGAAAATGTAGTTGCATAAAAAGCAGACCAAAGTTTTATCTACAATACAGGAAAGGGAGAGTTTTTAACAAATAATTTACTCACCTTCATTTTGTTCTAAACCTACATGACTTTCTTTCATTCATGGAACACAAAAGGTATATTTTGAATAATGTTTTGGTCAGTCTTTTCCATATAATATGAATGAATGGGGCTGGGTCTGTCAAGCTGTTTAATTTTCAGTGAATAAATAAATTTAAAGGTACACTTTGTAACTATCAAAATGAACAACATCTAAATAATGATTTACTATGGTAAGCCTATTGTAAGTGTTTATATTTTAGACCGGGAGGGATGGTTTTCACAGGAAATTGCGTACCAACGTCACTCGCCCGTGCGTGTCTCCTCATATCCAAGAAATAGGGAAAAGTTACTGCGGCTACTTTTATATGCGTATGGTGTTGGAGTGGCATAGGATAGTTGTCACAAAGAGCGAGAAAGGTTGACACGGAGCTCGCTAAATCTCGAACCTCCGGGGAATCACCGTTTTAAAAAAGCTGAGTCTGATGGAGAGTCTGCTGGCAAATAGAGAGCACGAAAGAGCTCGTAATAAAACCAGAATCAACATTTGCTTGGCTTTTTGGAGATGGCGAGAACTGAGGGATTTGAAATGTTGTAAAAGCGATGAGAAGATGCCTTTTTTGTAACTCAGCAGGTGATAAAGGTATTTTATTAAACATATAAATTGCCATATGTAGCTCTCTAACAGAGTTTATTGTAAAGCATTACTGTGAAGGGTCATTTCAATATGGATTGTTGTAGCGCTGTGCTGGAATTTATTTTCAAGGAAGTACCGTGTCTATTAATGGGTAAAGCTACAGTTCAGCTAGTCAGCTTGAGATCCTTTCCATCTAAACTGGTTATATCTCTTAAACCTATTAGTGAATGTTTTATAAGCAGTAGGATAATCTTTCTCTTTTTTAGTTATGAGAAAGAACCATATTAATCCGCACAGTCATGCAGAGCCAAAGCACAACCAAAACAATGTTCTTCCGCAAAATGTATGTAGTTTTGTTATTTAACCACAAAAGTTAGATAGTGTACCTTTAAAAAAAACCTTATCACTGTTTGGCTTCAGAAGACACAATGTTTGTGGACAGAAGTTTTCAGCCTTTCGAGTTGTAATTATCAACCTGTTTTCAACTAAACATAGAAACTTTTCTGCCTAAATAAAAGCTGGATGGTTTACCCTTGAAAGTAAAGAAAATAATAAATATATATAAATATAAAATATAAATTATATTAAAAAGTATTGTATTGTATTAATACAATAGTAATATAAATATAAAAATGATTTATTATAATTTATAATGAACTCTAATTAAAACATTTAATTATAAATTAAAAATACAAGTTAAACCAATTATTATAATTGTTGTTAGTATTACTTTTGCCTGGATGTTTTAGCAGAAGCTATTATGTTTGCATTTGAGATTAAATGTTTATCATATCACAATTCGAAATGCAATAAATGACAAAATAGTTGCAATATAATTTTTGGGCCAAATCATGCAGCCCTTCAATACATTTATTCAAATATCCTGTATGTTCCTTACATGTTTCCCCCAAAAAAGAAAGTCATATGAGATTGGATGACATGGTGATGGATAAATGATTCTCATTTTGGGTGAACTATTCCTTTGAAGGAATGAGGGTGTAACACGCACTGCAGAAAATCTCTCCATATCCGCTTTCTTACCACTTTGCCTTGCTTGCGAGCCAAAATGACAGTGCGGTTGCTCTCTTGCAGCCAGGCTTGATAGCGGGAGGGCAGATAGTCCAGTCCACCATAGATATCCTTGCTCATGGCCATGATGTCATCAAAGTCCTCTTCTGTCGCCACCGTAAACTGTAGGCCGGTCTGAGGAGGGGCCTCAGGGAGCTGAGAGCAAGGCAGGCCGTTTTCAATCTTCATCCTAAGAGCTGTGGACAGTCAATCATGGAAAGAGATTTACAATGAGATTTCTACTTGAGAATCACGTTATGATCTGTGACCCAAAAAGAGGGTCCATGTGACATTCAACTTTTTGTCCCTTTGCAAATTTTATTTACTGCATTTTACGTTTCAAGGATGTCAAGATTGAACTTTACAAAAAAATTGTGTGAGGGTCCTTATCAGCTCAGTACAGTGCAAGGTTTGTGCTTCATGTCGCAGTGTTTATCTTCCCGTGCCAACACGCCAGCAGGTTGGCATCAATAGCGGCAACTTGTAACCATGCCCAAATGCGAGACAGACGCCCCTCAGCCAACGCACATACACAGACATGTCCACCTCCTATTGCCAGAACCCTTAATCCTTTTTTTAATTCTCACTGAGCAGCATTGCCCTGGTTCCCAGTGGAAAATAAACACATTTTTTGAAAGGACTTGGGAAATAATGGCGAGAGACATCCAGGGGAAGGTGGAGCGGATGGGTAGGCAGATGTGTGCAGGCACGCATATATGGGTAGTGAGTGTCGGGGATTGAAAGGCAGAAAATCCGTGCAGTGGGAACAACACTGCGAACAAGTCACAGAGCAAACATTGTTTGCACCCCCTTGGGCCCTTACCGGTTGAGAAAGCCCTGGTACTTTTCCATTGATGCACTACTGTAATGGGAAAACCCTTCATGTCCGAACGCTTATTTGGGTTTGGCAAACATGTATGGGGCAGCACTTTGTGATGCTGTGACAAAACCTATTCACTCATGGTTCATTTGCCAATTGCTATGCAATTTTCGATTTCCAAATTTCCATGTGACTGTCTCTCTTAGTCTTTCATTTGCCCTTCAACTTGTAATGGGATAGTTTGCTTAAACTCAACAGATGTCTGATATTTCCATTGGGCCGGATCAATGTGTTTGCCTAGATTCCTTAACCTAACTCATGCTCGGTCAGTCTAGGTCTAGTAACCCTTATTAACCCCAAATGAATTTATCTCTGTAAATAAGAGAACAAAAAAATATCTAAGCACCAATTAGCAAATTCCATCAGGTTAGTTGAATCTGTGAGGCTCCATAACGGTCCGTTAATGAGTTCCAAACAATTGTGATTTTTTTAAATGATTTAGTTCTTTTGAAGATGCATGAAAATATAACTTCTCCAAGGACTTTAGCACCAATGTGTTAATTAGTGTCTGTGAACACGTAGTTATAGTGCATGACATCTTTCAATGAGATGTGTTATATAATTGCAAAAATGTCCTTATCTGCTGTTATATCATAGGGCTCGACTTGTCATCTCTCCATGGGATATAATTTAAAGTTGCCTCAGGCGGAGTTATTACAATTACATCACATTGAAGGAGAGGATGAATGTGAAAAAAGTATAACATCAAGAAGAAAACTCATGCTTTAAACATGAATCTGAATATTTGAATCTGCCCATTGTTTTCAGTCTTTTAACCAAAGCTACTTACATTGTATTCAGAGTCTACATTTTATCAATTCACGCATTCCCTGGGAACCATGACGTTGGTGTTGCTCTACTGTGAGAATTTTCACGGGCCCCAGTGCTGTGGTTATAGATCTGGGCTGGTAATGTCAAAAGGCTCTAAGTTCAAACATTGCAAGGAGTGATCAGTGGGCTGTAGCATAACCACATTATTCCAGGTATTATCTTTTTAATAAATGTACTGTGAATTGGTTTGAATGAGTGTGTTAGGACCACAAACTTAAATGAACAAAACTAACCCAGTTAACCCCTGGTCTCACTTTCTATTCAAGCCTTGATACTGTTATGGTCAAGTGGGCTCTCAAGAGTTTATTGCACACTGCATAGTTTTATAGATACATGCTCCTATAACCTTTAACAAAGACAATTGATTTGATGCAGACTAGTATGATGTAGTGTCTGACCTGACCAACAATTCGGCACTGCCAAATAATGGGCTTCTGCAAGCTTCTAATAGGTTCAGTTTGATTGAGATTGTACCCATTATAGTTTATTTTCACTACTACTAATAGTCAGGCAAACACTTGCCACCTGTTAAAAATGAAATGGAAAAGAAAGCTGAAAATGAAAAAAGTTACATGTTTGGCCTAAGGTCCTCAATAGGTTTTTCATCTCAACATCATATTAATTAAATATAACAAAGGTCAGACGTGTCTGCCTATTAACTACAGTTTTGTTTTCATTCAAGAATCACAATTAATTAGGTAAAATGCAAAAAAATAAGTAAGGGGAAAAATGTAAGATATGTTCATGTCATTTATGGGAAGAAAATTATTATCAAGACAAAAGGAGGTTGGCATACTGAGAAGGTCATAAGGACATAAATGAAAGTGTAATCACAAGGAACGTTACAACATTCTGTTCTCTACAAGCGTATTGTGGCACATTTACATAATCTGAACAGAAAAAATCCTATTCAAAGAAAAAAAAATTCTGTTTCCAGCACTTTGTTTTAAACAAGAACATCATAGATTAATCTGAGCATATAATGTGAATTAAAAAAAAATATCATAATGGTAAATAATTCTGGACGAGATCAACTATTCATCATCCATTCTCATGCATCATACAAGATAGCAATTAATTTCATCTCTTCTGTCCTTTAAATTCCTGTCGGAGAGATGACAAAACATTGCAGTATGTAGCTTCCCCTCCCATATTTGTTCATATAAATTCATTAGACCAGATTATGGGAGCACAGAGGATAACCTTGAAAAATAATGTCCCTTTTATAAAATTTCCATTTTAGATGCCTGCAATACAATTCAGTAAGAAACATTTGGGATATATAGATTTAGAAATGAACTAACACGTCAGTGTTAAATAATCCGTCAATACATGATGAACAAGAGACACACTGAAATTAGTTAATTCGCAATGCTTTTGTATTTTAATTGCTCTCTTTTTTCATGCAGTGTCATTTTGGCGTCTCATGTCAGCATAAAAGCAAATTGACAAACTGTCAATATTTTATTATGGAACACATATTTAGGTCAGTTCTGTCGTGTCACATGATGAACAAGATACCAAAGTGGAATCAACACAGCAAGCCCTATGAATATGTTAAGAATATGTGAAGATAAAGGTGACAGCACTCTGAGAACACAGAAAATAATCTAATTTAACAGAAAGTTCACCCAAAACAAAAAAAATTTCACAATTTATTCTCCCTCATGCCGTTCCTTATGTGTTCTTTTATTCTGTGGAGCACAAAAGGAGTAATTCAGAAGAATTTTCACACAGTTATTTTTTATACAATGCAAGTTCATAGTAACCAAATAGTGTCAAACTCCAAAAATACCTAAAAAACAACAGTCCTTATTACTTGTGCGCTATATTCAGAGCCATTTCAGCTATTTGTGCGAGGAACAGATAAAATTTGGGATTTTACTCCTTAAATGTCATTCTCCATCCTGCTTTTTTGGCGCATTGCATACTCTTACAAGACATGTTAGAACCAACTGCTTTTTGACTTCAAACCTGGTACAATGTGCCAAGGTTAGGGTTAGGGGTAACCAACCACACACAAAGCTATCATATGACACAAGGCATAGGAACTATTTTTAAGGAGGGTTTTGTCCTTTTTTGGAGCATGACACCCATGGTCACTATAAATGGATGGACAATAGGCCTACCTGTGTAAAGATTCTTTAAAAAATATATCTATTGCGTTCCATGGAAAAAACTAACAATACGACATATATGGATTTGGAACAACATGAGGGTGAGTAAAAAATGACAGAATTTTTATTTGTGGGTGAATTATCACTTTATTCATTAGTCATTCTTGACAATATTATAATGAACAAAAACAACTTGCATGCTTGAAACATTATTCTTGACAGATGAAAATCCGTTCAGTCAAATTATGACCATCAGGACGTGTGTGTGTGTGTGTGTGTGTGTGTGTGTGTGTGTGTGTGTGTGTGTGTGTGTGTGTGTGTGTGTGTGTGTGTGTGTGTGTGTGTGCGCGCGCGCGCTCATTAATAAAAAAAATGCGCTCAGTATTGCGGTATGTGGAGCAAAATCAAAAACCAAAAGTAGCGTGATAAAATGGGCTAAGCATGACACTGGTACATGCCTTGCACCACTGCAGCAGCTTGCACACCATGTCCATTAATAATAGGGCATGCCATATGTCTCTCCTACTTCTCGAGGTTATGTCATGTACACTGGAGGTATGGTGCGTCAGCATGGGCATTCACGTGCCAGTGGAAAATAACTATGATATGAGCCTGCCGACTTTACCAGCAAGAACTACAAAACACGAACAGGACATCAGCACATTGCATCGGTTAACGAAGAATCGGCCTACATTCGACTTACATTAGATTTAGAATTCTTAAAAAACAAAGTCAGCAATTAACATTTCTATAAATAGGCCTATTATATAAATAAAACAGATAGGCCTATATGATGATATATTTAATGATGGATGCATTCCGCATCTTTTAAAGTCAAAGCCGTGTCGTGTTCTCAGCATCACTGCAATTCGACCCTATTGATTCGCCCCGCCCCCACCCGAAACGCAAATTAAAGCAATGATCAAACACAAAATCTTGCTAATAGATCTCACTCTAATGGTGCAATACATACCGTACATACGTTCATGTTATATTTATATTGTAAATTCTAATATAAATAATAAATAAATATTTTTTTTGTGCATTGTTGCCTACATAACGTTTTGACATGTCAAGAAGGGAGGCATTAGACAGGAATTCCTATCATCTATTAACGAAGCAGTTCCATTGTTAGCTACTATTATAACTGGATTATTCGATAAATTTCCATTTTCCACAAAATCCGTACCGGCATCCGGCATTAAATTGAAAAACGTCGCACGCAGAGAGACCAAACGAAAATAGGCTGCTCGACATGAATGCCAACATATAACAAAACCCATACTGCGGGTTTCCCGGCGAATTCTTTACATTTCATTCATTGCCTTGTCGGCTCTGGGTATTAATTTGGGTCGTGCAAAATAGCCGTGAGACTTGAAAAACGGTGAGAAGGGCAATACAGTAAATGCGTGATGTTCATGACAATTTGAAGACGTGAAAATCCAAGTACAATGACTGTTCGACCGCGCCGAGCCCTTGCCATGCATAGACTGCACGAGCAAAATCCTTTCTAGCGGACACAGAGGACCATTTCACTTACCTCTACGTCGTGCGTCGGACCGGTGAAGAATACAGAGGTCAGATTGGCAGATGCTGAATAGATGTAAGCTTTCTTTGCACTGCGGTTAGATTGAAGGAAGAATTTTTAGGTAGCCTAATGCCGGTTCAGGCTTACAATATATGAAGTATGAGGTCACTGTGAAGCCCCTCCCAGAATTCCCATCCTCATCCCCATCCCCCAGTAAGGAGCAGAGAGGTATGCCAACCCCCTAAACCATCGCCCAATCACGATCGACCTCTCTTTTCTCTCTCCCTCTTCCTCTCACCCTCACTCCCAATGCGTCCGAACCACACTAGAGTGCTGTTCTGTTGACTCAGTGCATGCTTTGCTCTCCTTGGTTTTTCCAACTTAAATATACTGTACATACACAGCTGAATTTGAGTACATGTGCTTTGCATATACAAAAGAGATGGTGCACAGGTGTTCGGACAAGTATCGAAATTGGTTCAGGCCAAAGTTATTTTAGGCAGATAGAAAGAACCCTACATATTTTTATTACATATTGTACAAAACTGAGTGTTGCATTTACTGGCCTAGTAGCAGGCATACCTATATCATAATAAAATAGTTATAGCCTACCTGATCATATACTTCTTGTACATAGGCTACATTTAAATTGTATGTACATTTTAATCATTTTAAAGTAGGCACGCACAATGAAACATTTAGCTGAACTCTTGCTTCTTATTTTTGTCAAACACATTTTTTTTATTTTTTTTTTGCAAAAATTCATAAACAATAATTTGCAGATCCATTGTAGGCCTACTAGTGCCAAGGACCCCTAGAGGTCAAAGACATCCTAGTTTGTTTTTTGAAGGCACAGATGGGTTTATTACTTTTCCATTTGGCTAACTACTTAAAAAAAAAAAAAAAAAAAAGACAGAAAGAAAGAAAGAAAGAAAGAAAATAAAAAAGACAGAAAGAAAGAAAGAAAGAAAGAAAGAAAGAAAGAAAGAAAGAAAGAAAGAAAGAAAGAAAGAAAGAAAGAAAGAAAGAAAGAAGGAAAGAAAGAAAGAAAATGAAATCAAATAGGCCTATGACTTCAGTCATGATGGTTAATCTTATGAGGTTGAAATCGGTAATTGACACCAATGAAACAAAATATGTAATACATAATACATTTCAAATTAGACTAAAGATTAGATACAGACTGAAAAATCAGATAACATCTCTGAAATGGCAAAAACAACACAGATTAAACAATGATAACCCATATTAATTAGGTTTACTGATACTGATGCTACATGACTTTTGTCATCATTAAGACAATTTGGAACTATTAAGAAGTGCAATAGACTTCTGTAATATGTACACACAAAAAACCTCTGACCTACTTTTTCATTTTGTTGAGACTAATGAAATTTGTTTAATGCGGGATTCTAAAGATCACCAATTTAATTAATTGGGTGAACATAAGGCATACTTCAATAATTTAACACAAAAGTGGAAGACAAATTCTTACAATTTCTCAGTTTTGGCACAGCAATAAAATAAACACAACAATATACAAATAAATAATCTATCAATATAACAGTTAATGGGGTAACACTTTACAATAAGGTTCATTAGTTAACATTAGTTAACTACCTTAGTTAACTTGAACTAAGAATGAACAATACTTCTTTAGCATTTATTAATAGTTCATGTTAATTTCAACATTTACTAAGACGTTATTACAATCAAAGGTTGTATTTGTTAACATTAGTTAATGCACTGTGAACTAACTTGAACAAACAATGAACAGCTGTATTTTTTATTAACTAACATTAACAAAGATTAATAAATACTGTAACAAATGTATTGCTCATTGTTAGTTCATGTTAATTAATACATTAACTAATGTTAACTAATGAACCTTATCGTAAAGTGTTCCCGTTAATGGAAAAGGATGCAATGAAAGTGAATGGTGTCTGAGGCTGTCAGTCCTTTTTAAACATAATCATCTTTATCATTATGTGTATGTTCGTCCATTATGGAAAATCAACTTTAAGTTCATGTTAAACTATACAGATGACACTCATTTCAGGAGTCGCGTCATATTTGGACAGCAGTGGTTTTTAACCATATTAAAATGGAAAAGTCTTCTGAGGCAAATCCTCTTAAGGTTATAAAATAGAAAAATATGATGTGATATATTTAGATTTACTGAATCAGATTTTCTTAAAATCACTTTCCTTTTAATCTTTATTCTGTCTTTTTTATGCAAGCGTGATCATAAAAATACAATTCCTAACCTGACATTCATTGTGTAAATCAATTTGACTTGCTTGGCCTTGTTTTGTCTCATCTAGACAGCTGAAGTTTGGATTAAATGCACCATGTATATGGTGAACATGACAAGGCATTCCGATGCAAGAGCTGTGTTTAATAGTTTGTTTGTTTTTTTACTCTGTTTGTCAGTAAAATACTATAACAACTTATCTGAAATTATTTCCATTTTGAAATCAAACATGTTTTATGAAATAATACAATTTCCCAAAACAGTCAAGGCATACACATTCATTTAATTTGTTTTATCCGATCAATCACTAAAACGTCTTGTCATCTCTCAGTTTTTGCAGAAACAACCGCAGTTCTGAGACGTTCACATCCATCATCATGTAAAATCATGTCACACAATCACCAGCAGAGGTCATAATCACCACAGAATTGATCCAATCTTCATGACAACCTCTTTAGGCCTACATCTTTACCAAGCATTTCATACCATTTTCCGTAAAAAATGTCATGCCTCCTTTTGTATTTAATTTATCTTTCTTAATTGTCTGTTTATACACTTATTATATCTGTCTACCTTTTGTTTTCTATTATGATTCTGGGTTTTAATTTGGATTCGTTTGCAATGCTCATGTGAAGGTGACCTCAGTGCTTCTGGTGTTCACAAAAACGATATACCTGTGAAAAACGTCATATGATTACATTTGTGGTCAATATTAACAACGGGGGTTATAATTTAATCTTTAGTAACAAAATTGGTCTAAACCTAGACAATAATTAAAAGTCGATACGAAGTGAGGAAGTACTGAAACTCTTTTTAAAAACTTTATTTCTTGTAGGTAGCGTGGCCGAGCGGTCTAAGGCGCTGGATTAAGGCTCCAGTCTCTTCGGGGGCGTGGGTTCGAATCCCACCGCTGCCAATGTTTTTGATTGTAGAGCTAGCAGCAGTCAAAGTTCTCATGACAAGAAAAGATGTCTGAATGCCTATATTTAGGCGGAACTGGATATGAAGTATAATGTAATTTGTGGCTCCAGTGGTTCCATCACAGGCGGAAGTACAATTGGTGAAATGTCAGATCTGAGTTGCGGAAATAGATCTATAATATTGCATGCGGGAGAAACAAAACCCAGAATAAGGTAATTTGATAGGTTCAAGGTATGCTAAATATATATATATATATTTCAGGTATTTTTGTCACCATAAAAGGTTTAACGTTAGACAAATACCGAGTGTGATAGTATACCGGTATTTAAAGTTCATAGAATATTAAAATTACTGCAGTGAGAAACTCGTGTTCGTTTGAAAAGTTTGAGCGGACTCTAGTGGTGTGTTTCACAAATGACAAGTGGTGCAAACTCTGTAGGCCTTATCTGCTATGTATAAACGAACATGAGTGCAAACGACCGCTTAGTCTTTTATAATATTTTTTTAATCATTGCATTTTTTATATATAGATATATAAAGTATATTTTGAATTAGATATAATAAACGAGAAAAGCCTTTGCAATCGGACATGTGAAAACGCATTTCAGCTTCGTGGTTTTTGAGCCTCTTAGTGGCTCGTAGTGAGATACGGGTTACTTGCGTTACGCTATATGGCCCTGCCCCTTTTTTTTTACAGTCTATGCTCTGCCCCTACCGAACCCCGCTGGACTTGTATTGTGACAAGCTAGTAAGTTACGGAAGTTTCTAATCTTTTGACTTTCCATCTAGATTTTTGTAAGTAATTTTATTTGATGGTTACCGTGCAGTCCTTCCTTAAAGCTGTGTAAATTAAGTGAATAAATAGTCCGTTGGTCAAGCGCTGCCCTACAGCTTGTTACTTATTGAAAATATGTCATGTGGTGTGAAATCTGTTAGTGCCATGTAACGTTAGATATAAGCAGTGGCTTTAGGAAAGCTCTTTGAGACAACATGTTTTTAAGGATTCTGGCGCACTTTACAGAGATTGAAAAGATTCGTTGTGAGGTTATTGGGGTATTATTGGGGCATTTGTAAGTTAACCTGTTTTGATGTTCATATACATTCCTGTAATTAACTCCATTAATTAAACTGACCTTCATTAGTTTCTCAGGTGCAAAATATATCAAAATATAACTAAACCTTGATAGGACATACAACATAATTTGAAGAGAATTTGTACCATATAGAATCTTTGAAAACAAAGCTTTTCTTGTTGAAATTGAAAGTTTCCTCTTCAAGTCCTTCTTAAAGGAATGTAATTTATAGTTTGAAAAAGAAATAAACCATTGTTATTTAGGGCTCCAAGCACCGAAGGTATCTTCACATTCATTTGAAATTATCCTGTGACATCCTTTTACATTTAAATGTTGAACGTCTGTCCACAAATGCTCCACACATATGATCAGACCCTAACTTCAGTAAAGATTCAATATGGATTTTGCTCTAAAAACTAGGTCATAAGATACATTTAATTTAGATTACTGATCATTTTTAGTGTTTGAACTCTGATGATTGCCACTTGTGGCTACAGTATATTAATATAAAATGTTGCTTTCCCATTATTTTGTGCTCCTGAACAAAGTTTGTTTAAGCTTAATGGGTAGTTTTTAAATATTAAATGTGAACATGTTCTTTTTTATACAGCAGGCAATATCAAGGTACATTGGACATAACTTTTATATAATCCGCAACTATGAAACCTCCATTTCGTCAGCGAACTGAACCGTCACGCTTTCTACTTCAGAGCATTGAGCAAAAACAGACAGTGAGAGACAAATCATTCTGCAAAGGATGGGCTCGCAAAGATCTACAGAGCTTTTTGCAAGCTTTGAAACTACAGAATAATTTTGAATCGGAGTTAGATCTGACTGAGCTTCAAAAGAAAGTTCCCAGACGATCTCTCAAAGAGGTAAACTCATTGCCATCACCCAAAACAGATTAAGCTGGATGAACATGCACATGTCCATTGTAATGCAATTACTGCTTGGTTTTAGATTGAAGGCCTGATAAAGTCCCTGAAGTCACGTATGCTGCAGAAGGTTTATCTTCAGGTTCAGAGTCAGAGGAGGGAGTATCACAAGACTAAGGTTCCCATTGAAATCTGGGCAGAGCTGGTTCAGAAAATCTCCAGATCCCATGAGAAGACTATTTCCTCTGCCTTTTCCCAGGTCTGTTTTTGACATTTCAATGTGGAAATGCACCTGACACCACACAAAAACAATAATTTCTCAACCTTATTATTATTAATACACGGTTTTATTGAGCTTGTGAGGGGGGGAAACTGGTTTGCCATTACTTTGACAGGATTACAACTAAGGAGTAGACAAATAATGATGGATAATGTTTATATATGACAATAAGGTTGTGTTACTTATGATACTTTTGAACTACAGTGATACACGCAGGTGTGTTACATTGATGCACCACAAGTATGTAAGTTCAACAATTGATTCTGTCGATGATTGATCTCTTATGACTCTCATTTATGACAAACATTATACTGTATTTTACTGCTTTATTGCCTTTTATCACCATAAAGCAGATAAAATGTTAATAATTTCTGTTTATTTTGTTCTCTGTCATCAGATGCTTGTGATTTCTGCCACAGAGCCATGTGGCCTGATGCACTCTGAACCTCCACATCCCACCAGCCGAACACCTGCTTTCTCCAGACTTTACCCAGTTCAGTCCCCTAAAACCCCCTATCGGCCTTCCGCCTCGGACATGAGCCCAAATCCTGCCGTTTTCACTACCTCAGCTGCATCTCTTATTCAGCCTGACTCTAGTTCTAATGCTGTTGACCATATTAGCAAATTGGATAATGCATCAAGCAATTCACCTGTAGTGCCTAACACACCTGAGACACCAACATCCTCACAGATGACAAGAAGCCCAAGCCAACTACAATCACAAGCAGAACCAACAGTGTCCAGTCCTGTTTCCACTGATCCAGTGTCACCATCAGTTTCCTCAAATAGACACAATCTAGTTCGATTGGGACTGTTAGATCATGATAACTTGTCATCCAAACCAAGAATGCTGAAGTGTGTTATGAATTTTGACAAGATTTATAAATATTTAAGTGGCGTTGGCTCTATAACCGGCAATTCATCCCTTACTTCTATGGGTATGTATTGTTATGATACATTTTACGTATAATATTCTATTATGATATTAAAAAGTGGAATCAATTATACTCTTCATGGCCATTTTACACATTGTCCCAGGAATGTGGAAGTTCAACTTAATCAACTTAAACCCAGTTTAAAATGTCTCATAATAACAACCCTCATGCCGTTCCAAACCTGTATGACATCCTTTGTTTTGTCTTTAAAAAGATTACAATGAAAGTCAATGAGGATCAATGTTGTTTTTGAACCCCATTGACTTTGACTTTCATAAAAGTCAGTCAGCCGATCATGTGGGAAGGACATGAGGGTAAATAAATAATGACAGAATTTTAATTCTGGGTGAACCAATCTGTTATACATATGTGAAAAGATCTCTATTTTTCCTCATATTTTTGCACATTCCTTCTGATATGTCCTCAGAGAGTGCAGTGCTGTTGGATATGCTGATGTGTTTGCCTGAGGAGCTCCCCTTACTGGACTGCGAGGAACTTCAACATCACCTCCTCCAGTTACACTCGCAGCTTTCAAAAACAGCTGCTTCTTCAAACGTCCCATGTGCGAATGTAGCTGATTCTACTGTATTAACACAGAAACTTAGGACTACTACTGGATCCTCTACAGAGTCTGTCACAGAACCAGCAAAGGACAAAGACTGGGCTACGGCTGGCACCTGTCCTCTCAATCCTTTGTTAGTTCCAGTAACCTTGCTGAAAAGACTGTCTCTGGATTCTGAGAAATGATATGCTTAGGCTGAACCCCTTCAGAATTCAGCTGAGACCAAGTAACCTTCTGTGTGGTTCTCATGTTTCACTTTTCTACAGGTTCAGATTTGTTCTTTTCTTTTGTTTGGGAAATGTGTGTATAATGTATTCATATTATTTCATTACACTTGAGTTGATGATTCTGTTAAAATAAGTTTCTTATAAAAATATCCAAGACATAAAATATGAAAAATAAATGTAACATTGAATATTTAAAGTGTCTACATTTTCAAATTGTTGTGAATGTAAACAACCATTTATTGCAGTTTGTATATTTTCAGCATTGTCACCAGTCTAGTGCTCTTGAGTTTCCTTCTCTTTTTTTTTTAACAAAAGTGTATACTTTTCTCATTTTGAATGCAATGCAAATAAAAAATTGTCAGTTAAGAGAGGTAATTTCTTAAGAAATATGTACAATGTCTGGTCACATCTACCCCTCGGTCTGTGTGTAGTTTTAGTTCGTTATGCAGTGTTTATGTTCCTCTAGTCATTCTTCCATTCATCTCATTATGCAAGCTGTGGTTATCACTGTATTACTGTATATTAGATGTCTTAATTTTGTACTTTTTTTTTTAAAAGAACAATTTTCAAAGAACCAATTAAAGGGATGTTCCAACCAAAAGGGAAACTTCTCTCATCATTTACTTACCCCTTAATGCCATACCAGATGTATATGACAATCTTCAGATGAGAACAAACCAGACCAAAATGCAATGTGCACATTATAGTGCAACCTTATGTCGGATGGATGTGTGTGGAGGTAGCTGAGATTTGGAACCATCCCACCAAGTTTGAGATCTCTACGACTTACGGTCTCGGATGCTTTTAGGCCAGAAAAAGAATAATTTGCAAAACAACACAATACTTTGGTGTAGGGGTGGGCGATATCTCGATATTTAAAATATATCGAGATATTTTTTAAACACGATATGGATTTTGACATATCGTATATATCGATATATTGTTTATTTTTAATCCTGATTTCGCCACTTTGCTTGTTTGCCTTCTCTGTGCTGTGCTCGCCCCCGCCTCCTTGCTTTTGTTCCCCCTCACCTCGCGTGTTGTCTCATTCAAAAATTGTCTCATCCGCAACCAGCCCGGAGGCTACAGAACTCCGAGTGTGTCTGCGCGCGAGCGACAGAGCACGAGAGAAACCGAGTGTGAGCATTAATTGCATTAGTAAATTGGTAGCCTACATACTACAATATATAATTACTATTTAAGAGGCATGGAAGTTCGATTAATGGACTCCAGTAATCAGAAGGCTACTACAAACGTCTTGTTTTAAACTATTGCAGGGCTCGAATTTCGGCGCGGGTATTGCGCATAATTCTAATCATTCCCGCAGGTCTCCCATTTATAATGCGGGAAATTCCCGCAATCGTAATCCACACAGATTATAAAATCAAATCATTCTTTTAACAACTATCTGCCAGACGCAATTTCACAAACAGCGTGAGTGTTCAGCGGTGCCGCGTCTTATTTCTCTTCTCTCATAATGTGTTGTGCAAGGCAAGCATCAAGCGCTGCGGCCATAACATACACTCGCGTTTAGGAGTCGGGACATGATGGATATTCACTCGCACAATCGGGCCAGCAGTGCATCGTGACTGAAGTTTACCATTTGCACGTCTTTTTAAGTCTTACCAGTTTAAACATTCAAGCGATTTTAAACTAATCAGTGCTCGCGCGCTCTCTGAGAGATTATTTTCTATGCGCACATTCATAGAAAATCCGCCTTAAGAACAGCTGGCCAGTAACAAAAGTTATTTTTCGCGGATTATATTGCTTTAACACGCAAAATTGTCAATTTCGGTCGTCGTGAGTATACTCTAAACATAGTCGGTTTTGTCTTTAATAAGCATAAAACGCATGCCAGTATAATGAACACAGGATCCGTGCACTAGCTCTTAAAGTGACGGCAGCCATATATGTCTGTCATTAATTTTGTTGTCAATACAACAAAAGATAGCTTTAAATTAAAGGAATCAGGATTAATAACCTATGCATTTAATTTATTCAGGACTAAAATACTACTGTGTTATTTTCCATTTGATTACTTTATTCAGTTTCTGTATATGAATCACGTGATTAATAATGATGACGAAATTCAGGCCCTGTGTTTAATTTTTCTCATTTGGTTACATTCTGTTATGGAAAATTAATTTTCTATTGATTGTAGGCCTATATTTTGAGTTGTATTCACATCCATTTTCCTGTAAAGATATCGAGATATATATCGAATATCGAGATATAGCAAAATATATCGAGATATATTTTTTGCTCCATATCGCCCAGCCCTACTTTGGTGCATGGACCACTAATAAAAAATTACCTTTTAGAGTGAGCATCACTACACAGGTGAGTAATATGGTGGTCACACAAAATGAATGACCCATGAGTCCCATTGCAACACAGAGGTCTAGGTACATCAAGCTAAGTGATGCTATACCATTAGCAACGTTTTATGATATTGAAGCTCTTATCTGTTCTGCTCCCACAATGGCGTGTACAACTCACCCTCCCTCACATTGTTTGACTGGCTGCTGATGAGATATTTGAGATAAAGATACTCACTTTGCAAAACATAGGCTGGGGAATATAAAATAATGTAACAATGTAATCCGAAAGGACTAAATTGACCCTTCGCTAAGCCACGCCCGAAAACCGCCACTGGCCAATGATGGTTTAGCAACCGTAACTAGGCACGGGAGGTCTGACAAGCTTTCAAGCGAGGGAAACATGCCAAAGCGTTGTGTGCGGATTGTGCAAATCTGATACCCGGTATCCTCAAAGTTTGGATGGGGGAGTGAATTTTTTTTTCCTTCCCGAAAATCTTAAAGGCAAGAGGAGAAATGACGGGCGTGGATCAAGCAGTGGGAGACCCCATTCACAACTAAATGTCGACAGGATTAACAAAAACACCTATAGCTTGGAAATAATGACGGTTCTTTGTTCATAATGCATATATTTTAACGTAAAATAAAACGATTAAAGACAAGACGGAGGCTCACTGACATACTTTAAAATATATTTCAGCATTTTGTTAATCGACGGTCTACTCCTGACTGAGTAACTTTAACCCAATCCGATCGCGGCTCTCCCGGTGTTAGTGTTATTCCACAAGATTTATGGATAAGCAGTTTGATGTATAAATATTTGATTATTATTATTATTATTATTATTTTTTTTTTTATACAGGATGAACAAATAAAGCAAAAACAATATAAACAGAAGGGAGGAGAAGGAATTATGCATAAATACATCGTAGTTGTATGCTACATGGCTTAGACAGCTTTATACTTATACAACTTTGTCACAATATCCACGCATATTCTCAAATATAAATCATTGTATACCTGCATACCTAAAATTATATGTATGCACTAACCCCCCTATAAAAAATAAATAAAAAATAAATAAATAAATAAAAAAGAATAAATAAAAGAAAGAAAGAAAGAAAGAAAGAAAAGGAAACACTGAACAACAAAGCCAAACTGGTGAGGTTAACCATTCTGCCATTACTGTTTACTTAGCTAAAGATGTCTTTACATTCTTTATCTATCAACCACTTTTCCCAGTCCCTTTTAAAAGCATCTTTTTTCATCTTTAAAATATATGTAAGTTCTTCCATAACCATGATTTCTTCAATAATTCCAAACCATTGTTTACACTTCAAAGTAGTATCTTTAAGCCAGTTCCTAGTTATAGTTTTTTTGCAAGCCGCAAGAAGGATCTTACATAAGTATTGATCACTTTTAGGGACTATGCCTTTAATATTTCCCATTAGTAGAAACATAGAGGTTCTAGGTATTTTAAATCCAAACACTTCCGACATAACTACCTGCACATCGTCCCAAAAGGACTGGATTTTCTCACAGCTCCAAAAAATGTGTGTGTGATCCGCTTCTAACTGTCCACACTGCCTCCAGCAAGCTTGTTGTCCGGAGACTTGTTTGTTTCTGATCTTAGGTGTTATAAAGAAGCGGATAAGGCACTTCCAGCAAAACTCCCTCCATATTTGTGAACTGGTAGTAGTTTGGTGTATTGACCACAAGTCATACCAATCCGTTTCTGTTATTTCAATCTTTAGTTCTTTATCCCATTTCAATTTTATATATAATGTAGAGGACGGGCCGCTACACATCAACACTTCATACAAATAAGAAATTATTCTGGGTAGTGTATGCTCATGCTCATAGGCGTCCATCATCATTTTAGTAAGGGGATGGATATCATTTACTTTAACTTTCCTTTTTTTGTTGTAGTAGTCCCTTAACTGGAAGTATCTAAATAAATCCTGATTTCTTATTCCAAAGTTCTCCTTTATGTCCTGGAAACTTCTAATTTCACCCTCTGTAATTACACAGCACAATGCTGTTATTCCCCTATCCCTCCACTGTTGAAATATTGGGTCATCCCTTCCTGACTTAAATTCCTCATCCTGAGTAATCCACCTAAGTATTCCAATTTCTTTCTCCAATTTGAATTGTTTAACAATAGAATGCCATACCTTCAATGAGAATGTTGTTATTGGGTCCAGTTTGTCTTTAATATAACCATGGATTTTACTCTCCCCTATAAGTGACTGAACTTGAAGATCTTGTATATGTGTTTCTATGTTTTTCCACTTGGCTATGTAACTAGAGGTACACCAATATAAGATGGGACGCAACTGTGCTGCACAGTAATAATTTTTAAGACTTGGAAGAGCCATGCCACCTTTCTCTCTAGGTAATTGGAGTGTTGAATAGCGCACTCTGGGTCTTTTACCCCCCCATATATACCTGGATATTATTTTGTCCCATTCAAAGAATTGCTTTGGTGGGATTTCCACTGGGAGGGATTGAAACAAATACAGCAGGCGTGGTAAGACATTCATTTTTATTCCTTTTATCCTATCACTGAAGCTCATGGGATATGTGGACCACCTCTCAATGTCACTCTTTATATTATTAGTAATTAGATCGTAGTTGGCCCTATACAATTTTGTTAAGTCTTTAGTCATATTTATACCTAGGTATTTTATACATTTTGCGTCCCAATTAATGTCATAGTTTTGTTTGAGTTGCGTGTTTGGTTTACAATTAAGCATAAGAATTTGGGTTTTTGTTACATTTAATTTGTATCCAGCATATTCATTAAATTGCTCTAATACTTGCATAAGGTTTATGAAATGTTTTTTGGGTTCAGTTAAATAGATCATAACATCGTCTGCAAAAAGACAAATTTTATGTTCCATGCCGTTAATTTCGACCCCTGGAATCAACAAGTGCTGTCTGATTGATTGAGCCAGTGGCTCTATATAGATGGCAAATAGAGAGGG